GCCCGGGAGGCTGCCGGGGACAGGGCAGCCCCGTGGCTCCGTGGGGACAGGCTGACAGAAGCAGACATGCAGACAGGACAGGGACATGCCGAGGAAGAGGCCGACACCACGTCTCCAGCACTGGCAGCCAGGGCTCAGGGGGTGTGTGAGGGGACAAAGGTGAGGGGCTGGGCTGGGCAGAGCCCAGAGTAGCTGAGCCAGGCTAGGGAAGCCAGGGGACACCGCAGGGAAGAGAGTGCTGGGGGATGGCTCAGGCTGGTCCCAGCTGGGAGGGGTACTGGCATCATCCAGGTACCTTGGGAAGGAGCACTTGGGGCACAGGGATGCAGGAGACACAGCTCACACCTGGAAACCCCACACCTCCCCATCCTGATCCTTGCCAGAGCTGGGAGAGGCGCTCTTGGCACATGGCAGGATCCCAAATCACTGCATGAAGCTTTTGCCGAGACAGGGACACTCTGGCAGGTGACCAGGAACAGGGAGTGGCATTTGAGTCCCCAAGGGCCCAGTCCCACACCCGCTGACACAAGGAACAGGCAGCAGCGCTGCCAGACAGTCACAGTGCCAGCAAGCGGGACCAGGATGCCGGGATGTCACCCCATGAACTGGAGTGCAGCAGCAAGAGGGGCTGGGGGGACACCTGGAGCACCCCAAAGCTGTCCCTGCAGGAGGCTGATTCGGGGCGGGGAGGGTGGCACAAGGCCGCCCTTGCCAGGACTGGTGTTGGCCTCACCATGGCTGCAAGGACCGAGCACAGCACTCTGCGACGGCACACGGCACACGCACAGGTAGGGACCCACCTATCCGACAGGTCTAGGGACCGCCTGCTCTCAAGGGAAGGCTGGCGGCTGGTCCGCCTGCTCGACTCAGAACCGGACTCAGCGTCGCTGCGCCCGATTGCGGCAGAGTCTACGCTACCATAGCGTCTGCCAGGGGAGGAGAGGAACATGGTCAGCAAGGTCCCACCGCCACCCGCCACCCCCTGCTGCTGTGGGGACGCTGGCAGGGAGGCTCTGTCCACCTGGAGGGGGCTGGCACTTCGGGTTGGGCTCTGCCACCAGAGTCTGTGTCCCCAACCTCCTCTCGCTGCACTGCCCAGCTCCCAGCAGGGACAGCCAGGGGTAGGGGGTCCCAAGCCCAGTGAGGACAGAGGAGGACAGTGACCCAAAAGAGTTTGAAAATTTCCTAGTGAGAAGGGAAGGCTTGGATGGAGCCAGCACCACCCCACTCTTCCTCACCTCATCCTTCCCTCTGTCACTGGGAGCGCCATCCCTGGCGTCCCCCTGGGGACCTGCTGGCCTCTGTCACCTGNCACCTCACACTGCACTGCCCAGCTCCCAGCAGGGACAGCCAGGGGTGGGGGGCCCCAAGCCCAGTGAGGACAGAGGAGGGCAGTGACCCAAAAGAGTTTGAAAACTTCCCAGTGAGAAGGAAAGGCTTGGATGGAGCCAGCACCACCCCACTCTTCCTCACCTCATCTTTCCCTCTGTCACTGGGAGCGCCATCCCTGGCGTCCCCCTGGGGACCCGCTGGCCTCTGTCACCTGTGGGGGAGGTTGAGAGAGCCGGTCCCAGGGTGAGCTGGCTGTGGCCACTGTACCTGATGGGAGCCTGGTCCGAGTAGTCCATCTCGTAGCTCTGCATGGAGTCGGTGTAGGAGTCGCGGGAGCTCTGCTGCTGGTGCCTCATGGGGTACTGGTGCACGGAGGCGTTGGGCTGGGACGTGGTGTAGTAGGGGGGGGGGATGCTGTTGCTGGTCTCGCTGCGGTAGTCGCTGTCCCGGTCATCCACGGTACTGTCAGGGTCATCATCTGCAGGGGGCCACAGTGAGCAGGGCAGGGGATGGCCCAAATCCGGCCCTTTAGTGCCACCACTGTGTCCCCACCATGCTGGGGAGGTGGGCCCAGCGCAGGATGAGGGGTGAGCTGACGTTGTCAGCACAGGAAGGGTTTGGGGGGATGAGGGGAAGGTGGAGGGGGAATTTGGGACATACAGAAGGAGGAAGAGGATGGGGGAAAGGACCCTCCCTCTGCCCCACCAATGTTCCAGCTCGAGCTGCTCATTGCCACTGGGACCCCCAAGGGCACAGAGCCCCATGGTGCCATGTCCCCACCAGCCCATGGGACAGCCCTGCCCAGGACAGGGCACTTGGTGACACTGTCCTCACCCAGTACAGAGTTGTGGCACAAGGCCACAGGCTAGACCCAAGCTCCAGGTCCTCTGAGCCCTGGGCCAGGCAAAGAGGGATGTGCTGGGGCCCCCCAGGCTGGGAAGAGAGGAGGGGGCAGGATACTTACTCTGCTGTTCTCCCCAGCCAAAATAATTCCAGTTGCCTACAAAGAAAGGGGCAGAGACAATAAAGATGGAGGCAGCTGGTTGGGAGGAACCAGCATCTCCCCAGAGGGCACACTGGGCTGAGGACACTGCCCTGGGGACAGCATCCAGGATGGGGCACTGAACATGACAACACCAAGCTGGACTGGAGACAGTGCCTGTGGGGGCATGGTGCCACTGGAGCTGGGGACAATGCTATGGCCAGGCATGGTGGCACTGACAGGGGACGGGGCCTGGGGCTGAGCACAGGGGCACTGAACCATGCATGCCCCTGGGGTGGTTATAGAAGGGGAACTGAGGCATGTGCTGGGACAAACTGAGCTGGCACCCCAAATGCCTCTGCAGGGCCCCCATCCAGCAGCCCCCAACACCAGCCTGCTGTCCCTTGCCCCAGTGGAACTGCTCTCATCAGCCCCATTGCTCCTATTGCTCCCCTCCACACACAGGAAGGCTCAGCCACTGTGGAGCTGGGAGACAGCAGAGAAACACTGGCAAACACAGGAAGGACAACAGGAATGGGGATGGGAACTGGGTATGGGGTGAAGTTCAACCCCACTTGGGTTGGGATCCAATGCCCAAAGCAGATGTGGAGCCCACCCCCTAAAACTCCTCGGTGTGGGAAAGGAGGGTGTGGGTGTCCCCCAGCGGGGCAGGGACAGGGCAGCACTTACAGCACTGTGAGCCATGCACAGGCAGAGGCTTTTCCTGCTCCTCCTGGAAGGCATACTGGGGAGAGAGGGGCTGGTGAGGGCTCCTGCTGGCAGCACTGCCCCTGCCCCCTCACCCCAGGCCTGGCAGCACTCACATCATCCTGGTCCCGCATGGCGTTGAGCTGCTCCAGTTTCTTGGCCCAGTACCTGGCCTCCTCCTCAGGGATATCTGTGAGGGCAAAGACCCCAGTTAGTGCACAGACCCCCCAAAACAGCCCTCAAGCCTTTGGGGCTGAGGATCAGACCCTCAGCCTGAGCTCCAAAGCTCATGAGCAGCCCTGGGGCTGAGGGCAAGGAAGGACAGCCTGGGGATGGGGATGGGGACGGGGCACCCACCCAGCGGCAGCTCAAAGCGCGTGTCCAGGAGGATGCGATGGAAGGTCGGATCCTTGGTGCCTGAAATCTCGTTGTCTGTCATGATGACCTGGGAGTCGAGTGTGAGCCATTCCCCAGGGCCCTCCTGTCAGGTAGAAATGGAGTGAGGAAAGCTCCCAGAGCCCCTTTTCATTCCCCCACAACCCCAGCACACGGGGTGTGGCCCCAGGCAGGATGGGGAAGGCTCTGCCTGGCCCAAAGGACAGCTGGGGTGACACATGTCCCTTGGGGCTGAGCCTGTGCCTGCCTCCTACCTCATTGGACTGCCTGATGGTCCGGAGGGGGATCCACACCGTGCCCACCATGGTGTCCCAGATGAGCCCCTTGTTCCACACCTCCACAGTCAGGCCCAAGTCCAGCCGATTGATCTCACTGGGGACAGGAAAGGGATCAGGTTACCCCCATGAAGTTAACCCCCCTCAGGTCTCTGCAGCCTCCTGGGACCACCCCAGCTTCTACCTGTCCTCTCAGGGACTGCCAGGACTCAGGTGAGCCCCTCAGATCTGGGCTCAGGGCAGTGGGGGACTCCCCGTGTTGTTTATGGGGGCAGGGGGGAGCAGCAGGGATGGGGGAGCTCGGGGGACCCCTGGACACTCACAACATGGAGCCCTGCACACCCACGGACACTCACAACATGGAGTCCTGCACACCCCTGGACACTCACAACATGGAGTCCTGCACACCCCTGGACACTCACAACATGGAGCCCTGCACACCCACGGACACTCACAACATGGAGCCCTGCACACCCACGGACACTCACAACACGGAGCCCTGCACACCCACGGACACTCACAACATGGAGCCCTGCACACCCACGGACACTCACAACATGGAGCCCTGCACACCCATGGACACTCACAACATGAAGTCCTGCTCCCAGGAGGGCAAGTTGCCCCGCACTGCGATGGTTGTGCTCTTGACATTTTGCACCTTCAGGGTCACGTAGGTGTTAAACTTCTCTGTGGGAACAAGCAGAGGGTGAAGTGACCCCCAGTGTGTCCCCACTCCCCAACACTGCCCCCTGCCACCCCACACACTCCCCTCAGCACCCCAGTCCCAGGAGGGATCCTGCATCTGCCAGGGCTGGGAGGATGTGAGCCACCCGCTCTGTCCAGGGCACCCCCATTTGTGTGTGTATGTCCCCAGCTGATGCCTCCAGAGCTAAGGGACCCTCGACCCCCTTCCCCAGCCCCTCCTCTGATCCTGCCACACCCAAGCAGCCCAAGAGCCCCCCACTCTCTCCCCTCAGGTGGGGTCTCACTTACCTTGGGGCCCATCATACTTGGCCTTTTTAACTGTGGGGACAAAGGGAAGGAAGGAAATCAGGCTGAGACCCCGGGAAAAGGCTGGGGATCCCCACCAGAGTGTCAGGGGGGTGGGAGGACCCCAGTCCTGGTTGACCCCCCACGCCCCTCCAGCTGCCAGGTGGGAAAAGTGCTGGGATCCTCCATGCCAAATGAGGGTGAGGGATCAGATATGAGATGGAGGTGGGAATCAGAGGGGAGAAATTGCTCCCCCAAAAACCTGCTACTGTGTGACAGCTTGCAACCCCAAAGGACCAGCCCTCCTCTGCTGAGGGGGTGTTACCCCCCCTGACCCCACACTTTTGACTTGGGATTTATTTGGAGAAACAGAAGATGTTACCATCCATGTCCAGAGGAAGACCTGTGGTCTGGGGGATGCTGTTCCTCACTCGAGACCCATCTGGGTGGCACCAGCCCAGCAGGACCAGGGTTAATTAAGGCTCCCCCAAACCACTGACCCACATTTCCTGAAGAAAACCGGGTGAGTCGGTGCTTGTAACCCTCCCTGAGCCAAAACAGCCCCAGGGGTGGAGGAGATGCCCCCCAAACCCTATACAGCCCCAAAACACCCCCATTGCACCCCAGCCCTGTCCCCCCCATGGGGGCACTGTGGGGCTGGTTCCCATCGTGCCCGTTGGGGGTGCAGGGAGCCCTCGGATCCTGCTCCACGGGATCTGATCTGATCCACGGGAACCCCCCAGTTCTGGCTGACACCCCCAGCTTTATCCCGTTGTGGGGGGGGTCGGTCCCCAGCCTGTGGCTGCACTGGGGGGGCAGAGGGGGCCGGGCACAGCCGGTACCGACGCCGCCAATGCCCGGGGGTGTCCGCGGGGCTGTGGGGAGGGGACCGGGCGGGGAGGGAATGACACAGCACCCGGAGAACGCGTAAGTGACGCGGGTGCCAGCGGGTGCAGGACCAACGTGACCGAGCAGGGATGAAAATAGCCCTGGCGACATCAAAGGTAATTTGATTTCGGAGACGTGCCACTCGCCACCGCTTATCAGCCGCCACCAGCGCCGGAGGGGACGCGGGGCTGCCGCCAGCGCCACGTGCCTGGCTGGGCTGGCAGGAGGCACCAGAAACCTCGGGGAAACTGAGGCAAGGGAAAGCAGCACCTCGGAAACAACTGGGGAGCCTCCAACCCGGCTGCCTGCCCTGTGCCACAGAAAGGGTGACACGCTGGGTGGCTTTGTGCCCCAAGGAAGGTCAGCAGAGACGCCACTGGCAGCCATGTTCCCAGGGAACCACAGAGATGGCGAATTCACACTTGGGGGGTTGGCACAAAGCTCCAGGATCCCAAAGATCCTCGAGTGACACCAGGCTGGGAGCCTGGGGGCTGTCTGGGGATGGCTGGCACCACTGTGTGTAATGATTATGTAAATGAAATAAATGTATTTATACATTCTATTTTACATATTATAAATTGATATTATTCTATTCTAACAGAGCATTTGGAGCCAGAACCTGCCTGTGGCTGACAGGGATCCCCCTTCCCCCGGGCCCAGGGGCACCCACTATTCTTTACCAGCTGCTGCTTCCAAAAAGGAACGGGAGAGCAGAGGAAGGAAAAGCTCCAAAAATACCCGAGCTGACAGGAACAAACAATTACCCAGGGAACACGTGGCTTTCCTGGCTGTCATCTCCTGCCAGGGAGAAGTCCTGCTGTCACCATCTGCAGGATGTGCTGCCCTCCCACCCATCAAAGGGTCCCCAAAGCTGGCACAGGGGTGGCGAGTCCTGGGGTGCCACCCTGGGGCTAAATTCAACCTGAGTCCCCAGGCAAGGAGCTGAGGACAGTGTGACACTCATGTGACATCAGCAAGCTGGGGTCTCCCAGGCTGGGGTGATCTCCCTCCTCTCAGGGGGTGTTGAACAGCTGCGGAAATTGAGGCAGGAGGCAGCTGGCAGGGATTGGCATTAAACTGGGCTGGGCTGTTGTCATGCCCCAACAGGCCTGTCTGTCTGTCTGTCTGTCCTTCCCTCTGCCTGTCCACGCATTCCTCTGTACATCCATCCTGCTGCCTGTCCATTACCAGTCTCTCCACCCACCCATCCATGCTCCAGCCATCCACCCACCCATCTGCCATCCATCTTGCTGTCCATCCATCCTCCCACCCCTCTATCCATCCTCCCACGCCTCTGTCCTTCCTGTCTCTCCATTCACCCATCCTTCTGTCCATCCACCCACCCCTCTGTCCATTTTCCTGTCTCTCCACTCACCCATCCTTCTGCCTGCCCATCCATTTGCATATCTGTCCACCCACTCCCACCATTAGTCCATCTCCTGTGTGTCCATCCCTCTGTCCATCCATTTACCTGTCTCTCTGTCCCCTCCCCTCTCTGTTCACCCACCCCACTCTCCATCCACTCACCGGTCTCTCCACACACCCATCCCCATGTCTATCCCCCATACATCTGTCTGTCCATCACCCAACCCTCCATGCACCCCTCCATCCATCCTTCCATCCGTCCACCCACCCGTCTGTCCTTCCATCCACCCCTCTGTCCTTCCTCTCCCTCTGTCCCTTCACCCACCCACCCCTCAGCCTCCGTGATCACGTCTCCCATCCCCTTCATCCATCTGTCCCTCCGTCTCTCCATCTGCCTCTCCAGCTGCCCGTCCGCCCGCCTGTCCATCTGTCTGTCTGCCTCCCGCCACTCCAGACACCCCCTCCTGTCCCCAGTCACCCCACACTCCCGGGTCACTCCAGTCCTGTCACGCAGGGACACCCCCGGCACGAATCCCCCAGGAGGGGCAGGGAAAGCCGGGGGAGGCTCTGGGGTGGCACCCCCGCCCCCGGGACCCCCAAAATAGCCCGGGGAGCGTGAGCAGCGAGTGGTGACGGGCACCGGGGGAAGCCCCAGCCCACTCGGAGCTGTTCTGAGCAGCCACCCCCAGCGCCAGCGAGGGTGTCACCGCATGTGACAGTCCTTTAAGTGGCAGTAAAGAGGCACTTCCCCTGCCAGAGGAGAGTACTGAAATCTGGGGCTGGCTGGGGGGGCACACAGGGGCATGCCAGCTGTGGCACTGCCACCAGAGAGGGGGCTGTGACAGCACCTCAGGGACAAGGACACGTCGGGGGGGTGGAAGGGGCTCAGCCTCCATCGTGATGAACTCAGGCAGCACCCGGAGAGCCCCATTTCCTCCAGATTTCACCTGGGGTGAGGGAATCCAGGAATCCAGACACTCCATGCCCCCCCTTGTCCCAGCTGTCACTCTGCCACCTCCATCCTCTGACCCCAAGACACACGAGTGCTACCCCGTCCCCACCAGGATGTCACAGGGCCTTGAGAAGGGGGTAAAGGGACCCCTCCCGACTTCTGTCCCCCTCACTGAGCTTTCAATCCAGACTGAGCAGCGAGGCTGAGGCCAAGCCTGCAGGACTCATTTGGGCACTGGATTGGGCAGGGCTCAGTGTGCTGGGTGCAGGGATCCCCTACCTGTGCAGTCCCCCAGTACATCCCAGTATGGGAAACCAGCACCAGCTCCCCTAACTGGGCACACAGCACCAGACCCCCAGGTGGTACCCTGACCCCCACCAGCATCTCCATGCCAGGCTGGGCAACACCTGCAGGGGCACAGGGGGCTGCAGGAGGTGGGGCTGGGGCTCGGGCTGCAATCTGAGAGGGGCATTTAGGGGTTCAATCCCCACAGTGTGGGATTTGGGGTGCATAGG